AGATTAAGATTCAAGCCAGGCTTCATAATCTTTTACCAGCTGTTCAGCTTGTACCAGAACAAAATACGCTTGTTTGGTCACTGCAGAACTGCTCGTCCTTTTGACCCAATGTTACAAAAGCTTGAATGAAATCATGATTAACAGTCCAGTAAATGGTGCCTTTCCTATACAACATAGAAGATCACCCTCCACAAAATTTACCTCATATGGGTTTATAGTGAGAACAAAAAAGGAACTAGTTCTTTATAGAAATAACTTTTTTTAAAGGATTAAAAGAAAGCATGCGCATCAGTGGTGGGATTCAAATAATTTAACAACCGGTTCTGTGCCCTAATAACCAGATAGGTAGGTGTGTCTAAGTGATCATGTGTCCGGGTGGGCATTGCCAACTCAACATCACTCATGTCAATGGGCGCTTTGCCTTAGCTGTTACGATGTAATAAGGGTTAACCAGAGAGGCAGTTTCTATAAGCAGGGCAATAAAGATTAGGCTAGAGACAACACAGAATGTTTCCTTCCTGCCTTCCTTACAGGATTAGCCCTGTAAAGTGAGGGGGAAAAAACAAAAAGAGATTTCTTCCAACAACCAGTTCTCTGAACTGCTTAGAAAGTTAACAACCGGTTCTCCTGAACAGGTGCGGACCGGCTGAATCCCACCATTGATACACATATACCCATTATCACAATATTCCCTTCCAGGGTAAGATACATTATGGAAGACTTAGGAAAGGAATAGTAAGCTGACCAAAAAATAAAATTTGGTAAAGGAAAAATGGAAATCTGGCCACATTTAGTTTATATCAACATCTTTCCCTACTCTTCTCAATACTTTTCTGTCCTTGCAGCTTCTTCCTGCTTCCACTTTCATTCATTTCTCAATGATCTCTTGAAGAACAAACATTCTGTTCTGCATCCAGCTATCCTTGCTAAAGCTGCACTGGATTTTCTATAAGTTATTCATTCTTACTTTCTCTGCAATCAGAATTCTGCCAGACACCTTCACAGGCACGCTTGAAAAATTAATCTCTCTCTGCTTTTTCCATTCCTTCTGGCTAAAGATACCACAGCAACCTTCTTCCAATTGTCGGGCACAAATACAGTCTTCACCCACACAATTAAGCAAGTAGTGCAGCCACTCCATAAAAATCCCATAAGCGAGTTTTGATGTTTCTTCAGTTACATCATCCGCACCTGTAGCTTTACCATTTTTTATTAACCTAACAGCGCTTACAGCTTGCTTTTCATCCATTATTTCTTGGATACTAAGCTGCCATCATCCCTTCAGGTCTGTTGTATTGCAATTCATTTTGTTATCTTTAAGCCATTCATAACTTATTACCTGTTCCCAGGCCAACTTTTTACTATTTTTAAGCCTGTTCTACATTTTTTCTGCTTGTTTCAATCTTACCCTGTCCTTGCTCTTTGAACACATTTTTGCAAATGCTTTCTGTATTTATATGCATTATACAAGGTATTCCCTCATTTTTATAATGGTCACTCCAATAACTACATGATTGTCTCATATATAGACTCTTTCATTTCTTCATTCCTCCAAATATACTTTTCGTATTTCCCATTGGTGTAATTCCAAACCCTCCTGTGATTCCTATAATTTAAATTTTTTCATTCTCTTACAAGCATTCTCCTTTTTTCCATTTCTTATATCCACTTTCTATTTATTTTATGGATAGATTAAAAAAAATTATAAGGAAATCTTAATTTCTAGTTTTTCTGTACTTTTTTCACTTCTTTTCTTTCATGTCCATTTCCCCCACAATTCACCAAATATTAACACAACCAGAAATAATGTTTTCCTAATTTGGGAGCAAGCATCATTCTTGAATCCTTAATTCTGTCAAACTTTCAACATGCAAAATAAAATCAAGCATGTTTACATATCCATTGTCTTTCCATGTGTAAGCATGAACAGGTGTAGTTTCCAATCACATATTCAAAATGAACACACTTTTGTCTAAACATATTTTCACTCATTCTTGGGTGTCTGAAAGGCCCAATAATGTTTCCTATATTATCATCTTGTCCTTAATCATCCATTAGCAGATGTTATGGTCATTATCCGATGGGCCCATTGATATTTATTGCTACTTCCCATCGTTCCCTGCTTATAATGGGGACAGTGCTAGCCCATTTCAGCACAATTGGACATATTGCAAGCATAACCAAAGCCCAGTTTTACTACAAACATGTTTATTCTATTCTATGCAAACTAGGATCTTTACTCCAGAAACTACAAAATCATTAGGAGAAACAGTTGTATATTCCCACACTTCAGAATATATTAGGCAAAATACTTATAGCACGTTTTTTTCAAAAAATCCAGACTTGGGGTTTCGATTTGTTAAGTTAAATCTCGTTTCAGTATGCACAGATAGACAGTATTTTGGAATGGAATTTGGTTTTTACACCTTTTCTCTGTTTGAGATTTGGAATTCTTAAATTAAGTCTTATTTGTATACAGTTTAAAATGTGCAGATTTACATAAAACAAATGAAAGGCCAGAGATATATAGTTGGTTCAGAGTAGTGGTGGGTTGCTAATGTTTTTACTACTGGCTTGGGCGCACTTGTGCTCACACATGTGCGCAACAGTTCTGCACATGTGCAGAAGCGTCTGGGTGGGTGGGCGGAGCCTCCACCACCAATACTACTGGTTTGCCCGATCTGGGCCGAACCAGGAGCAACCCACCTCTGTTCACCTATAGAATATGATGGCTGATTTGTTGCAATGCAAGCTCCTTACTTGCAACATCAAAACACACATACAAAATGGGTGGAGCTTACATCACAACTTAGTAAAGCCGGTGGAATGCAGTGTGGAGTTGTGGGAGGGAGAGTAAAGAAACATTGGAGCTTGGAATCTGTGGTGTGCTATTCACAGGGTGTATCTAAGATGCAGATAGTTGCTTTAGTCTGGCAAGATTTCTGTCTATGGGAGAACCATAAAGAACTACTCAGAAGTAATTTCATGTATCAGTCTTGATTCTTGATTCTTGGGCTTGTCACATATACCCCCATTTGTCCTCCCTCCCCCCATGGACCCTTCTGACTTGGTCTTAATTATAGCCATGAAGTTGACCCAGTGTTTTTCTGGGATTTCTCAAAATAAAGAGGAAACATGGGTTGTTGTTGTTGTTGTTGTTGTTATTAGTAGTATTAGTATTATTACAGTTATTATAAATGTAAAGGTAAAGATTTTTCATGTCCAGTTGTGTCCAACTCTAGGGGGCGGGGTGATGCTCATCTCTGTTTTTTAGCAGAGGGAACCAGTGTTGTCCATTGCTGTGGTCATGTGGCCAGCATGACTATACACTGAGGCACATGGAGCACTGTTATATTCCCATCAAAGTGGTACCTATTTATCTACTCCCATTTGCATGCTTTTGAACTGCTAAGTTAGCAGGAACTGGGGCATGTAACGGGGACTCACCTTGTTGCGTGGTGCTCAGTTTTCGAATCTGGGCTATAAACTTTCCAGCTGACAAGCTCAGCATCTTTAACCGCTCAGCCATCACATCCCCTTACAGTTATTATATTAACCGTGAATTGAAGTGCTCTTTGTATAGGAATGTACTCAATCAACCATCCATTATTACTCTCCTTGCCTTGAGTATCCTTGGACATGTTAAGGGAGAAAATGTCCACTGTACACTTCATAAAATGAAAGAACATAATTTGCTTATGAATGCTAGCCGCATAAACCAGATTTTTTAAAAAATGGCTGGACTTTAGATGTAATTTTCAATCTTCTTTAAGTTGCCACATAAATAGTTTGTAAATGTAACGAGCAGCAGAAATAACCTTAAGAAACAGGAGGAAAAATTGCAACCAAGACAAGGATCAGATTAAAAAACCGGAGTCCACGCCAGAAATGTAATTTGAGAAAATGTCTCAGACATGTCCCTCTCTTGTTCTCATGAAGAAAAAGGGGGAAATAGAGGGAAGCACATTCAGACTTGCAAGATTCTGTTGCTATAAGCTTGTGCTAAAAGTAGTATCAGCTTGCACATCTTTGGTTTCCAAGCTTGTGTACCTTGGAAGGCTGTCAAAAAGAATCTCAAAAAGAACTTTAGTAGATAATCTGGTATAGACACTACAGCCCACTATTTTAATTGTTTTTCAGATCCCCAGAAAGGCCTATACATCTTGCAAAAGTAATCAAGAATAGATGATTCTCTGAATTCTATGCCTTTCTTCAACTATCCCTTGGTAGATAGATGACACTTTTTTGAACTGAAACATGATAAATCTTTTCCCTTCTCCCTGTCCTATGTGTACTGTATGTGTGCATGTGGAAAAGTCTACAGGACAAATGGACTCTCACTTGTAAGAGGGATAGATTGTGAGTTGCTGCACATTATTTCCTGAGCATGGCTTAGATCCGTGATGGCAAACCTATGGCATGCGTGCCACAGGTGGCACACAGAGCCCTCTCTCTGGGTACGCAAGCTGTCACCCCAACTTAGCTTCAATGCACATGTGCCTCCTGCCAGCCAGCTGATTTTCTGGTCTTTGCTGCGCATGCGGGGGATGAGGTGCATGTGGGAGACACATGTGCATGCGTGAGCAGTGGGAGCGTGGGGAGGGTGCAGCACCATGGCCTGTTTTTGGTCCCAAGAATCTGCAGGGAGGCTTGCTAGGCCAAAAACAGGGCAGAGGGGGATTGCATGCACATGTGGGGGGGAGTGCAAGGGTGTTGTGCACGCATGCGCAGGGGTGGGGCCACTCGGAGTATCACACCTGCATTACATTATGGGTGCGGGCACGTGACGACAAAAAGATTAGCCATCACTGACTTAGTTGACCCATCTCAAGTGCACAGAAATGCCATTGTCACAAGAAGCTGCCATACCACTGAGAGACAAAAATAGGGATGAGACAAATGGTGTTGTTATTGTCCTTCGACCATATTTCATTGTTGGAAAGTATCTTTAAGATTCCAAAATGTTGACCCTCTTGCTGTCTAATGAATTGTTCTTACAGGCTCGAAAAGCAAAGAGGCAAAATGACTTCTGGGGCAGTTGGGGAGAATGGGGTGAATGCAGCCGGAGTTGTGGTGGAGGCATCAGTCTTCGGCAAAGGCACTGCTACTCACGCAGGTAATAACTGTTTCTTTACTATTCAGTTTTCTACACCTTAAGCTGTATCATTTACAAGAAAGGATAGAACAGATCTTGTATGGAAAATTAAGAAGAGTCTTATGAAACATTAGGCAGATTTCTGAGACCAAATGTTGCCTATCTATTTAATGGGAGGTGTCTTTGTCTTGTTTAGTTCCTAATGGTGCTTGTTTGGATTATATTTAGATATATTGGGGATCTGGGTGATTGCAAGAAGTGACATGGGAATGAAATACATGAACTTGAGGATGTAAGCATCATATCCGAACCTAGTATTAAAAACAATAATATTGGTATTAATAAGGTCAGTAATGACCATCACATGGCATACTGATTATGTTTTCTTGATCAATAACATTGATAAATTGATTAATTCGTAACTTTATTTAGCCTCTGCTTCAAGGCGTTAGACACCTTTAGGTAAAGCTGTCATCTTTCTCCACCCATCAGTAAGTTTGAAAAGGAACAAGGTATTACCATGAATATTGGTTTTGTTGAAAAGATTACAATTACAATTCTCTGAACAATTGACATTACACAAATACTCAAAGGTAATAGCAGCAAAACTTATAATAGGATGCAATCTTTTATTTTAATTCTGGCCACAAGGGCAGAAATGGACTTGCGATAAACTACCGTATTTTTTGGAGTATAAGATGCGCTGGAGAATAAGACACCACAATGTTTTGAAGAGGAAATTTTTTAGAAAAAAGTTTTTGCACTCCGCAAACTTCCCAAAAATGGCCCGTTTTTCATGAAAACAGGCCCTTTTAAAAAAGGCATAAACAGTCCTTAGGAGCTTGTAGAGTGTTCCTGGAGGATGGGGGGCAAAAACAAGCAACAAATGCCATTTTTTGTTAAAAAAAATGCATGGATAGCCTTTAGGAAGCTTATAGAATGCTGCTGGGGGCTGGGAAGCAAAAAACAGGCCGTTTTCACTCATTTCTGACCTCCCCAGCCTCCAGGAGCTCTCTGAAAGCCTTCTAAAAGCTATGCACAGCCATTTTGGTGAAGGCAGCAGGGTTTCAGGAGGCAAAAAATGCCATATTCAGTGTATAAGACGCACCAGATTTTCATTCTCCTTTTTTAGGGAAAAAGGTGTGTCTTATACTCTGAAAAATACGGTATATTTCCACAGTTTTCGGTTGGAAAGTCCCTCTGAATTTTGCTCAAGATTGGCAATTTTGAATTCAGCAATATCCTGGAAGCATCAAAGGTTTTGTGCAGATGTTACCTTTCTGTTAAAAGAAGAAAGGTAGAGAGATAGAGGAGGAAAACTGATTATTTGGGAAGATAGCAAAAAAACATTTTTTCCCTCAGCAATTTGGATTTGATGACTTCCCGAGTCAGTGCCCTTGTGAGGTTTGAAATAGCTTCCCACTCATCATGATGCTAGGCTTTTTCATGTTTTCCTTCCTTGATTTATTCCACACCAAAATTTCCAAGAATGACATGATTGTGATCATTGCCTAAGAATTCTAATTTAAATAATCAAAGTTTATTTTTAAATTGTTTATTCCATTGTAATTATACATTTGTAATTTGCCTTGTAGTTTCGTGGTAGAAAATTAATTTGGGAATTGTTTATGGCTCTTCCAGGTATAAATACCTTTACGATGACAGATCTAAATCCTGAAAGAGTCTCCCGACCGTTACCAAACTGAAATTCTGGGTTAATGCTGCTTTGTTTGTAGACAGAGCAGAGACATTGTAAGCATGGCATTTTGCAGACACTAACAAAAGCCTAGATGTTACATCTAGGTAGCAATAAAAATGCCTGAGCCTTGCGTGCTAAGGCAGGCAAAGCTGCACCCATTAGTGGCAATGTTCTGGAGGATATGTACTTGTCTTGTTTAACAAGGCCAGACATTAAAAGTGTTGAATGCTAACATAACAAATGTTGGTTTTTTTTTTAAAAGTCAGTTTCTCCTAAGGTATTGCGAAATTACTAGATATGCCTTCTAGATGAAGGTCTCTGCCATCAACTCTCTCTCTCTCTCTCTCTTTTAACCTTTAAATTTGCACACACAGAGAATTTAAAACTAAGTCCTTCAATAATAGCATGTCTGAGGATCTCATGGTTTTATTTTTGTAAACGTTGCTAGAAAGATCTGGTTTGGGGGAGGGTGGTTGCTTTTTAAAAAAAACTAGGGCGTGTCCCCTTCTTTTCATTTACTTGAAATCAGGGAGAAGTATGTTTGCTTACCTATGGAAAGAAAAGTTTAAATTGCTTCCACTGCAAGCATAGAATCATAGGCTTGGAAGGGACCTTAGAGGTCTTCTAGTCCAGTGGTCCCCAACCCCCGGTCCGTGGACCGGTGCCGGGCCGTGGAGTACCTGGCACCGGGCCGCGCAGCGGCCAGGGGCCATGATCGCTGCAGCGGCTGGGGGCCATGATCGCT